ACCTGCACAGGTGGAGGTGAGCGGTCAGGAACCAGGATAACAGTACCCCGAGTTTAACCGTGTTCCAGGATATGATATTGACAGAGACGAGGACACTTGGAAAACAGGAAACTGTCCTGATGTGGACGTCCATGCAGACACACTCATCTTTACGTATATATGTGTTCAGAGTGAAACAGCGTCTGTGGTTATTTATGAGACCTGTGTGTGTTTTTCTTCATGTTTGCAGTAAAGACTCCTGTCAGGAGCGTGCACGAGGGCCTGAAGCACAAACCTGGAGTTACCACAGACAGGTAACATCCAGCTCCAGGACACCTGTCCTCTCCACCTGCTGCTGGAGGAGGTCGGCTTTGATGAATCGGTGTTTTAGTTCAGGCCTCAGGTGAGCGGTGAACCTGTTTTCTGTTGATACCTTCAGCCGTGTTCCTGTCAGAGCTACTGAATAGTTTAATAACCGCAGAGGTACTGTGGGGAGGATTCTGGGTAAATAAATAAGAGCTGCTCCTCCATATCTCAGAGTTTCTTCTCTATTCTCACATCTTCACATCCTGCATAAGAAAAACTCAAACCACCGCCGCAGGACGGAGAAACCATCCAGAAACAACCGGAGAGGAACGACAGACTCCAGACGTTCGACCAGCCGGAGAGAAATCATCCAAGTCCAACATTCAGCAGGACTTTTTCTTCTCTTTGAACCTCTGAGGGAACAACAACAGGAACAGAAGATCGGACTATAACACGACCGAGGAGAGGAGAAGAAGGAGAAAAGAGGAAGAAAAGAAGGAGAAAAGAGGAGCGATTCATTTACATCAAACAGACCGAGGAGGAAAACTCAACGAACAGGATTAGATTAAAAACAGAGAGAGAGAGAGAGAGAGAGAGAGAGAGAGAGAGAGAGAGAGAGAGAGAGAGAGAGAGAGAGAGAGAGAGAGAGAGAGACAGAGAGAGAGAGAGAGAGAGAGAGAGAGAGAGAGAGAGAGAGAGAGAGAGAGAGAGAGAGAGAGAGAGAGAGAGAGAGAGAGAGAGAGAGAGAGAGAGAGAGAGAGAGAGAGAGAGAGAGAGAGAGAGAGGAGAGAGAGAGAGAGAGAGAGAGAGAGAGAGAGAGAGAGAGAGAGAGAGAGAGAGAGAGAGAGAGAGAGAGAGAGAGAGAGAGAGAGAGAGAGAGAGAGAGAGAGAGAGAGAGAGAGAGAGAGAGAGAGAGAGAGAGAGAGAGAGAGAGAGAGAGAGAGAGAGAGAGAGAGAGAGAGAGAGAGAGAGAGAGAGAGAGAGAGAGAGAGAGAGAGAGAGAAGAGAGAGAGAGAGAGAGAGAGAGAGAGAGAGAGAGAGAGAGAGAGAGAGAGAGAGAGAGAGGGAGAGAGAGAGAGAGAGAGAGAGAGAGAGAGAGAGAGAGAGAGAGAGAGAGAGGGAGAGAGAGAGAGAGAGAGAGAGAGAGAGAGAGAGAGAGAGAGAGGGGGAGAGAGGGAGAGAGAGAGAGAGAGAGAGAGAGAGAGGAGAGCGAGAGAGGGAGAGAGAGAGAGAGAGAGAGAGAGAGAGAGCGAGAGGGAGAGAGAGAGAGAGGGAGAGAGAGAGAGAGAGAGAGAGAGAGAGAGAGAGAGAGAGAGAGAGAGAGAGAGAGAGAGAGAGAGAGAGAGAGAGAGAGAGAGAGAGAGAGAGAGAGAGAGAGAGAGAGAGAGGGAGAGAGAGAGAGAGAGAGAGAGAGAGAGAGAGAGAGAGAGAGAGAGAGAGAGAGAGAGAGAGAGAGAGAGAGAGAGAGAGAGAGAGGGAGGGAGAGAGAGAGAGAGAGAGAGAGAGAGAGAGAGAGAGAGAGAGAGAGAGAGGGAGAGAGAGAGAGAGAGAGAGAGAGAGAGAGAGAGAGAGAGAGAGAGAGAGAGAGAGAGAGGGAGAGAGGGAGAGAGAGAGAGAGAGAGAGAGAGAGAGAGAGAGAGAGAGGGAGAGAGAGAGAGAGAGAGAGAGAGAGAGAGAGAGAGAGAGAGAGAGAGAGAGGGAGAGAGAGAGGAGAGCGAGAGAGGGAGAGTCAGACTCTAATCCAGCCTCTGAAGACCTGGTCTGACCGATGATTCATGTCAGTAAAGGGGGTCTGTGTGTGAAGACGGATCTAAACTAAGAGGAGACAAAGAGGAGACGAAGAGGAGACAAGGAGGAGACAAAGAGGAGACAAAGAGGAGACGTGTCCTCGTGTTAGAGAGACGTCACACAGACACGCTGGACTCACGTCAGGAGGGATCCGGGCGCCGTCTTTGACCGTGTTTCCCTCCACGGTGATGTGGTAGACCTGTCCGTCCGTGTCCGTGAAGACAAAGTGCTCCCTGGCTGAGATGGCCTGGCTCGTCTCGGATTTGCTCTCTGCGTCCTGGAGGAGACTGAGGAGGAGAAACGAGGAGGAGAGGAGGGACAAACTCAGCTGGGTTTGGACCGCAGAGAACCGGACCTGTTTTCAGGAGCTCCACAGAAAAGAGAGGAGAACTGAGGAGCACCATCATCATCATCATCATCATCATCTTCTCCTGCTGAGGTCCGACTATCACCGTCAAACATCTCAGCAGAAACACTGACTGTGGATTTTACACCACAGACTCCTGAGTGGAACCAGGTCCCCTCTGAGGGACTCAGACCTGTTCAACACCCAGACCCGCAGATTTACTGGGTCTCATCGCAGTAAACCGGGACTAAAACAGCTGATCCCTGAGTTCTGTAAGACTGATCAGCTGTTAAACACGAGACTCTAGGGCTGCACGATATATCGTTAGAGCGTCGTCATGGCGATGTACACGTACATGGTAGTCTAACTTCACGGTCAGCTGACTGAGAGACACTGACATGTGACTCTGCATGTGCAGCGATCCACCAATCACATTCAACCAGAGAGGAGGAAACCACGCCCCTGCACATGGAGTGAGTCTCTGACGCCGTCGGCGTTGACCCGAGAAACTCAGACCCACAGAGAGACACTGTGGGAACATTCCTCCTCTCTGTTTATCCCACATAAAGAACTGTACGGGATTAAATCGTTCAGTTACGTGGACCACTCGACTGTAAGCGGTGTGCGTTTCTGCGAGGTGGATGAAATCCTCGGCGGCGTGTTTCTCGGCACGACATCGGTAACAACAACGACGACGATTGTAAAACGAACAGAGAAAACCGCCGAAGAAGAAGACGTGTTTCAGTTCTCTGATTTCATTAAGGATGATGTCGACTAAAACTCCTGTTCTGTGTTCGTCTGTTTCCACGGTAACGTCCCAGAACAATAAAAACTAAACAGGACCAACAGCCCGGCCCTCAGATCCTAGAGAGACTCTGACCTGATGACCGAGGACTCCACGCTGCTCTGCTCGGCGTCCGACACCGTCTGCCGCGCCATGGCCTCTCTCGCCGCCATCTGCTTCTTCTTCAGACTCTTCAGGTTGTGTGACGGGGACCACTCCTGTTCACAGACGGACAGAGACAGGGTTAGCAGACAGACGCTCTCTCAGGTGAGGCTCAGGAGACCCACCTGTCCACCTGCAGCTCCATCTGAGGTTCGGGGGGCGGGGTTACCTGAGCCTCACCTTCACCTGAAAACTCCCGACTGTCATCAGTGAGGAGACCATCAAGTCCTCTTACCAGAGCGGTCACTGTGGGGAAGTTCTTGGCCATCTCTCGCAGCAGCGTCCCCGACCTGATGTCCCACAGCTCCAGAGGTTTGTCCCTGAACACCACCACCAGGTACTGCCTGCAGACACACACACACACACGCACACACACACACACACACACACGCACACACACACTTCAGCCTCTGTTTTTACGGTTTTACGGCCAGAAAAAAGTTTCAGTCTGAGAAACAAAGTCGAGGAAAAAAGTTTAAACTCAAAATGAATTTAGATGAAAAAAAAGAAATTATTTCATTTGTGGAGGAAGAATAAAAAAAAGTTATTTAACAGAAAAAGAAAAAGTCGTTTTCCAGACAAAAGTTCAAACTCACTGGAAAAATAAACTGACTGAACGTCCCAAACTAGGGCGGGAAATTTACCGAGGAGAAAGTAAAAGTTATGAGTTATGTTAAATGTATGTTATGTATGTTGATTAGAGGAAATTGTGATTTAACATGAAGAAGTTAAAAATATTATTTCCAAGAGAGAGAGACAGAAAAATATATAAACTTTATCTACAAGAATTCCAAGTTTCACATCCTGAAAATAAAACAGGCGGAGAGTTTCCAGAGAAGAGGAGTCGATGTTAAAGACGGAGCACCAAACGGAGACGTCCTCCGACTGTTTTCATGATTTTGATGGTTTTTTTCAGTCTGACTTTAAAGAAATCCTTTTCCACTTTGTTTCTCATCTCCATAAACTCTTTTGAACTCTCCAACATTATTTAAAGATACTAACAGCTTTCTCTGGACACGCTTATTTCTCATCAGTTTAAAGAGTCTTTTATTTTGAAGGTCCTGTTTATTATCCTCCCCCTTTCCTCCCTGAGTGTAAATACGCTGAATCATACTGTAGAGGCTCTGCTGGCTGTTTAATAAGAACATGAAGTCCAGTTCAGGTCTTTACCCTGAACAACATTCATGAATTATTAAAACCTCTTTTTAGGGCATCAGGGACCCAACAGGCCTGAGGTGGACATATACAGATAGATACCCACTGCAGCAGGAACTGTTAGTGAGAGAGGATCTAAGTTACTGTGGATCTAGATTTTATACTTTAAAGGAGAAAACATTCAGCCTGCAGACAGGACACAGGAGCAGAACAGTGATAACAATCATTACAATACTAATACTACTATTATACTACTACTATTAATAATATTAATGATGATGATAATAATAATAATAACAATAGTAATATTAATAATAGGAATAATTATAATAGTAATAAACACACAATTTATCATAATAAAATAACAACAATAATGATAATCAAGATAATGATAAAGATGATAATAATAAAATAATAAATAATAATTATAATAATAATAATATACAATATTACTAATGATAAAACTACTACCACTACAACTACTTCTAATACTACTAATATATTTATTAATAATAATAATGATAATAATAATAATCAAATTACTAATAATAGTACTACTACCACCACTACTGATATATTTATTAATAATAATATTAACAACAACAACAACAATAATAATAATAATAAATAATAATAATAATAATAATATAATAATAATAATAATAATAATAATAATAAAAATAATAATAATAATATTTATAATAATAATAGTTATTATTTCACTGAGAACTCCTTTGGAAACCAAGACCAGAACCATGTGGATCAGAGTCTCTGCTGGTCCTGAAACCTGGAGCTGTTCATCTGTAAAGACCTCCATGAAGCTCAGAGACACAAACAGGAAACACCGTCAGGACAGCTGATGATGATGATGATGATGATGGAGCTGTGTAAAGACTAACACCCCCCTGACCTTTCAGAGTAAAAGCAGCAAACGAAGGTCTTCTGTGTGTTAGCATTAGCCACTCTTAGCTTGAATACAGCTCACAGAAACCATGGAGGCCCACGAGTCAAACCCATCAAAGAGTCCAAATCATCAGAGTCCATGTCATGGGTCTGTTCCAGGTCTGAGCGATGTATGAAGGTCTTTGTAAACCTTTAAAATCTATTTTCATGGAGATTTGTCTCAGCGTCCAAACTCCTACAGAGCTGTTTTTTTTATCTCCTTCACAGCTGAAAACCACGTTCACAGACCCACAGATCTGAAGACCGGCTCATTTCAGAGTCGGAGAAAAACAACGGCGTGGGCAGAACCGTCAGAGGCGTCGCTTTCTCTAACAACACATCTCCACCTAAACATACGAGGGCGGGTTTCTATAGATATGAGGAGAGGACAGAGACATTCGACCGCTGACTACAGGATCTCAGCCTCTTTAAAGAAGCAGGATGAACGCTTCTGTCTTTGTGACGATGATAATGATCATTAACTAAAACAAACACTTCGTTGTTGTTGTTGTTTTTCTTCCCTTTTTCTCCTTCATGTTTGATCCTTTTCTTGTCATTTTCTACCTTATCTGAATAAAAATGATGTTTGTTTTTATGTAAATTCAGAAAATAAAATCTGATTATTAAAAAAAAGGAAAAGACGTATCAGGGTCTCTCTGTGTGTGTGTGTGTGTGTGTGTGTGTGTGCACAGAAACCTGACTTGGATTCTGGTTTATAGCAGCAGCAGGTAACTCACTTCAGATGAGACACTTTAATCATCTCGATGGGCGGCTCGTCGTTTCCTCTCTCACCTCTGAATGCAAAACACCTGCCTGAGAAAACACAGAGAAGGAGGTGAGAGAGAGAGGAGGAGGAGGAGGAGGAGGAGGAGAGGATGAAGGTCGTCTGTCCTCCTCACACCTGTAAAGATTCATCTCATCACTCCTCAGTGCCAGACTGTCCTGGTTTCACCTGGAGAGTCGTCCTCACACCTGAGCGTCAAGGAGTCCCCTCAAACAAAACAAGGACGCCCCGTCAGAGGAGGAGGACACTCGAAGACACAGAGCTGTCTGAGGGGGTCCAGACTGAGGAGGTCCAGACTGAGGGGGTCCAGACTGAGGGGGTCCACACTGAGACTGAGACCACCTCCAACTGTTTACACCGAGCGTGTTAGAGGGGGAACTTCAGAGCTTTCAACGATCGACAAGTCAGGACCACATCAGTCCAGGGCGCAGATTTTTTTCCGTAGGATATAGGGGAAGGTCCCGCCCTCCTTCACCTCTGATTGGCTAGAAGTGCTGGGCTCCTATTGGTTATTTCTTATGGCTGTGAAACGTCATCATCTGTCGGGTTAGGAGACTCAGAATTACGATAATGTTCTGTTCGAGGTACAGAGCCGACAGCCCGCGTTCGGTTTGAGCGTGTGATGACGTTTCACAGCCAATCAGAGGCAAAGGGGGCGGGACCGCCTAAGGCGAAACGTCTCAAGAAAGTCCAGTTGTCCTTTCCAAAAGAGTTTTAGATTTTAATCCCTCAGACCTCAGGAGAGTTTGTGGACAAGTGATATTAAAGTCGTGGTTAACGATTGTAGAGATCGGTAATTATTATAAATCGTTTCTATGGCGACCATGGTCCTTTAGTGCGATCTCCACAACGTGAAAAAAGATCGGAAAAAATCCAAAAAAACATCGACCAATAGGAGCCATCCGTCCCAGACAGCTCCTATTGGTCAATCCCCTGCTCCGCCTCTCAATCCAGTCACCTCGCTGTATTCGACACACCCCTCTCCCGTAGTTCCGACTCGTCCCCTCCCACTCTCCCCGCCCTCCTCGGAGCTCTGAGCGGCTAACAGTAGCGTAGCAGCTTAGCTACAGGAGCTGTGATGGAGAAGGATCTTCTAGCGTAGGATCTTCTGCCAGAGGGGGTGTGTCCTGGGGAGGGCGATACAGGTTCAGGGGGCGGAGTTATGGTTTGTGTGTGTGTGTGTGGGGGAAGGGACGCTTTTTTCAAATCTGCCTCAGCGGCTCAGAGACTCGTCCTCTTCAGTATTTTAAATGATTTCTTGATATAATTTTAATCTAAATAAACGTTTTTTTCATAAATATTTTACTCGGCATCTAAACTCTCGAGGAACTGAGTTTGTAATATGAAACCAGCTGTGTGTTTACTGTTCTACACAATAAGTGTTTATAATGTGTGTTTGTTAATGCGTTCATTCACAACAGCTGCAGGCAACCAGACGTCCACAAATCTGTGTAAGACGTTTGAACACGATGTTTTAACGTCCTCCAGTCTCTTCAGAAAACACTCCATCAGGTCCACATCCTTGAAGTGTTCAGTTTTTACGTGTTCCTGCTCCTCTGTCTGCAGACTTCTTCATGCAAAAATATGCAAACCTTCTCTGAGGAAATCAGATGCGTGCACATACGCTCAGGTGTGGGACCCAAACCTGTGCAGATGTCTCAGCTCTGAGGAGCAGCAGCGTTTCAGTGAAGGCAGGTAAACAGGCGGTGAAGTGAAGGATGGAGATGATGTGGAGTGAAGACATTCGTTCATCTCAGCTGGTCAGGAGGTGGTGTTGAAGGAGCGGTCAGACACCTGCCTCTGCTGATGGGAGTGTTCTCCTCCCGCTCTGTCCTTCTCCCTCTGCTGTCTTCTTCTTCTTGTTCTAACAGGCTGAACACGTCTCAGACCTTTTGTCTCTCCGTACTGAATACACACAGATTAAATTGATATTGATCTTTGCCTTCTGGCTCTTAGGGAGACGGCGAAAAAAACGTCTAATTCCTGAAAGGCTGTGACCGTGGCAAACTCTCACACACTCATGAGTGGATCGGAGATGAATCCCTGCAGCCTGCTCAGACTAACAGCAGCAACATTTAAAGTCAAGGACACCTTGGAGAGCCTCCGACTCTTCAACTCATGGGAACTGGACAGAAACATTAAGTGTGTGTGTGTAAGAGTGTGTGTGTGAGCGTGTAACTAAAGCCATTGCTGTGCTCTGTTAACTGTGATGACTGTTCCTCCTTCAGAGTCATTAACAGAGAGACTTACACTCTGTGTCCGGCTGACTGAGTGGATAAAAGCTCTGAGTCCAAAACCTTCACAGACGGACAGACGGAGACACATGAGCATTTATCTAGATCTTTACACTAGATTCCCTAATCATGAGCTCGTGTTCGGACTCACCGAGGACTACAGCGATCATCACACCCACCCCTAAAGATCATGTGACCAGGCAGTGAGGCTGAAATCACAGTTTCTGTGGAATGAGACGAGATAACAGGAAGACGGCCACACTGGTTTGAAAGGAGCTCTACAGGTAAGGTACATTTTATTATTATTATATTATTATTATTTCTTTTTTAAAATTTTATTATTATTATTATTATTATTATTATTGTTATTATTATTATTGTTATTATTTTTTTTAAATTTTATTATTATTATATTATTATTATTATTATTTCTTTTTTTTAATTTTATTATTATTATTATTATTATTATTATTATTATTATTTCTTTTTTTAACATTTATTATTATATTATTATAATAATTATTTCTTTTTTAAAATTTATTATTATTATTGTTATTATTATTATATTATTATTATTATTATTATTATTTCTTTTTTAAATTTTTATTATTATTATTATCATTATTTTATTTTTATTATTATTATGTTAAAGAGCGTTGGAGAAGGACCGCCTTCTTTAGCGAACGCCATGTTTGTCTACACTGGTGTGTGTGGGAACTGTAGACCCTACGGTGGCCTGGAGGTGCGAGACATGATAGAGAGGAAAACTGATTTGATGATTTTAATTTTTTAACATCATCATGATTAAATAATCCGATAACGATGTAAATGGATTAGTCGTTCAGCCCTACATGACTGCAGGTATTAAACTCACACTGATTCATATGCTGAATAAAAAAGTGTGTGTGCGTCACTTTGTCGTCACAGACTTGTGTTGAATTGTTTGTGTGTTAATTTAGCAGTAAAATCGGAATATTGATGTCATGAGTGAACCGTCAGAAGCCCCGCCTCCTCTGGTGTTTGTTCCTCAGTCAAAGTCGTAACGCCATCCATGAAGCAGCAGACATAAACAGACCCGACACGGTGGAGTGAGCGAGGACGCACGGGTTCAGACGTGGGTTATGTGTTAAATACAGATGTTTCCATGGTGACCATGAAGACATTTCTATGCAGAGTCTGGTTCTCAGAGAGTTCCTGAAGGTTAGTGTCTCCTCACACTGAACACAGAGGAGCTGAAAACACACGGGGTCAGCGTGATGATGTTTCTACGGAGGCCCTGAAGGGCTCGGCTGGGATATAAGTCAGTCTGCAGCCACTCAGGATAAGATCTCATTTTCAGAGCGCAGCATCCTCCGGTTAGATCCTAACAGGGTTTGGTTTGGAGCTAATTTGAAGCTGTGAGTGAGTGTCCCCAGGAGGAGGAGAGAAGAGTCTCTTAGAGAAACACTCAGACAGAGGAATAAAAACAGAGGAATAAAAACAGAGAGAGAGAGAGGGGGAGAGGGGGAGAGAGGGAGAGAGAGAGAGAGAGAGAGAGAGAGAGAGAGAGAGAGAGAGAGAGAGAGAGAGAGAGAGAGAGAGAGAGAGAGAGAGAGAGAGAGAGAGAGAGAGAGAGAGAGAGAGAGAGAGACTCTGTCATGTCTTTGTTATTATGGCTGCAGAAACTCCTCAGAACCTCCAGAACCCTTCAGAACAAAAGCCCAGACACAAACACAGAGAGGTTCTGATCGACCCAGAGGGCTGCTGGGAGAGGACGTGTGTCTCACCTGTGGGCAGGTCAACATGCTGCAGCTCGTTTCGCACCAGGCCCATGTTGTTGGGAGCAGAAGTGGCGAAAGAAAGGAAACTGGTGAGGCTCACCCACTCGATCCCCCTGCAGACAGACACACACACACACACACACACACACACACACACACACACACACACACACACACACACACACACACACACACCTTTAGTGGTCATGAACTGTGTTTCCGTCTCTCACAGTCGGAGGATCTGCAGAAGTAAAGATCAGACCAACAGGTGAGAGAGAGGAGTGAATGTTTTGGAGAGGCAGACCTCGCTCAGGGAGCTCCACTCCACCCTAATGAGACGGAAATTAGCCACATGATTAATTAGTCCATTTCTCCACTAAATGTAAATGAGATGCTAAGTAGCCAGACTTCCTCTGGCCTGGTGTTCTGGGCAACAAGCTGCCCGACTCTCATTTCCATAAAAGACCTCGACTCCCTCAGCTGAGAAACTCTGAACTTCACAGAGAAACAAAGACTGCAGACAGGAAGAGTCTGTGAGAGCTCCTTCAAAATAAGACAAAGATCGATGAAGATCAAGTCTGTGAAAAAAGAAAGAAGCATCAGGACCAATCAGGAGACAGGAGGTTTTGGTGTCTGTCTGTACGGAGAGTAAAAGCAGGAGGAACTGACCCCCGACCTCCACCTTCATCCTGATCGTCTCCTAAAAGGTCGTATCCTCCGATCGTAGCTGATCGTAACCATTCAAGTTAACGTGTCAATTTACACCGACTTCTTTCTGTCGGACGCCGGAGCATGGCGGATAAATTCAGCACAGATTAGCCCATGCTGGAAAGGAAGTCGGGCACAGACACAAAATAAAACATCCGGCTTCTTTTCAAAATAAAACTCCGGCGGAGACGAACAAGTGAAAGGTTTTTAGACGTCATTTCACCCCGATGACACCATGGATGAGGAGATGCTGTTTCTAGAAGTCTAGAAGTAGATTTCCTCCTCTGGAAGGACACAATCTACTGCTTATATGTCTATGTGTCTGTCTTTAGAGAGACAACTCGTTATCGTGTGATTGAACGTGAATCTGCAGGTTCTTGTGAGTTCTCCTGATTCCTGCGTCTGTAATCGCCATGAAACTCGCCTCACAAACGGATCATGTAGGATTTGGCGGACGGTGAAAATCGCCGCCGTTACTGATGCGGTGAAAATTCGGGGTCAGTCCTCCGTCATGACCTTAAGCTTCTTTGGTTGGAGGAGGATTTCTGTCTCTGTTTGAAGGTCAGCGAACAAACTGATCTGAGGGAGGAACAGGAAACCAGAGAGAAGAGAGACGACCTACAGAGAAACTGAGACCCTCCAACAGTTCTTCTTCTTCTTCGTCTTCTTCTTCGTTTTTTAAGTCTGGTGGACACGTTCACTGATCGACTCTCGCCCTCCCTCACGTGTGAAAGTGAACTTTTCTCATTAGAGTCTGAACTGATGCTGTTTGCTCACAATCAATCTCTTTAGTGCATTAATTGATTCAATCTCGCGCTCAATTAATCTGGTGGAATAGTTTCTCTGCTCATTAGAGAACATCGAGAGACGGAGCAGAGCGGCCGTCTCCACCTGATGACCTGCTGCTTTGTGAGCGATCAGACGGCGAGGTCTCATATCAGCTGTTACGGATAATTAACCACATCACTGTGGAGGCACGACACCGCAGAGAAGTTAGGAAGAAAAAACAATAACTCCACCAACATCTACAGGACGGACCCATCAGGACCTCGTCTCAGTCAACGAACTCAAGATCTCCTTCAAACTCCGTCTGACGGACGAGGAACAAGAACCTCAAAAAAACGAGTTCTTGGAATCAAAACCAGGAAATGTTGGTCTGTTTCTGTCACCTTCACCGCCAACTCGGACCGTCAGTCACATGACCCTCATTTAGTTCTAGACAGTGGAGCAGAAACCAGAACCAGGATCATGAACCTCCGCCTGGAGAATGATGAGGAACAGATCTACAAAGAACCACCAGAGCTCTACGTCTCCTGATGGTGTTTCTGCTCCACCTGCTGGGTCCAAACCTGGGTGTGTCCTTGGAGCTGAAGGTTCTGACTGAGCCTCATGGACCGGTTAGACCGGTCTGTTAGGTCTGGGTCTGTTAGGTTGGACTGATCATGAAAAAAGGTGATCAATATGATTGATTAAAGAGAGTAATGATCGACCCGACTCCCTCAGGACCTGGTTTCAGGTTCTGCTTTGTCAGGAAACGGAGGTCTGTCTCTGT